GTAGGAAAGTAATGTCTGATTCATTCTACTGTCTTTCCTATTCCCATCTTTTTCCCTTCCCTTCATTCCCCTTTGTCTAATCCAGTGAACTTCTATTCTTCCTCTCCTCTTTTTGTGTGTTAGAATCCACATATTAGCAATTATTTCTGAAAGTGCATCTTTAATTGTTGAATAGAGAAATGAAATACACAACAAAGTTAAAAACATCAAAGCATAGAAACATAAAAGTGTTTGTGTCTAATAACTAAAAAAGCCAATATTTCTATTTCATGCATTATTTTAGAAGAAACAAGTGCATTTATTAGAGCATTTCTCTGTCCCAGGATCTTTGTGTGCAAATAYCTTTGAATAGGAAGTGGCATTTACCTACCATTTTTCACCTAAATCTCTAGAAATGTTGAAAAACTAASCATAAATATCATTACAGGTTATTCAATGTATTCATTTCTATTATTAGTAAAATAAATTACTTATTTGGACTATCCAAATGATGCAGTTTGTGAAACAATTACAGGATAATCTATTAAAAACCAACATCATTCTGAATAACTTGTGTCACAATCCATTGTGAATCCATAACAGTATTTAGAGTGTCAAGATATGGTTTTTCTAACAACCAACTTAATTTCCTTCTCTTTTCTAAATGTAATGCTATAAAAGTGAAAATATTCTATGCTAAATTTAGTTTCAATTGTAAACATGAATACCGAGGGTCCTAAAAGGGAAGTAACAATAACATTAGTTAATGTATTGTGTGATAAGTCCTAAGATCTTTTTACAAATAATTTCTCAATCAAAATCTCATCAATCCAAAGACACCTATTAATAATAACATTACTTGTCATCCTCATTTTATAGCTAAGGAAATCAAGGGACAGACAAGTAAAATGTGCAAGGTCCTATAGCCATAATTGTTCCTAGAATGTGGATTACAGTTGACTTGTACAGACTGGCATGGCTCAAACTGACTTATAACAAGTAAGATCATACAGACAATATGAATGACCTGTTTTGCTGATAAACATTAAACATTTTGCTGATAAATATTCTTATCCCTTCCTGAACCTTCTGTGCCCTTTTCTACCCATACCCCCCAATAGAAAAGGTACTATAGTTTTTTGGAACCCAGATGTTTATAGAATCTAATTAGCAAGGGTAGAATTATAAGAAATTCTACCTCATTTCTACCCCCCAAATAAAAAGGTCACCATGTATCTAAATAGATGTGTATAGGATGGTAAAACAGGGTGGGATATTTTCCATACATGTATGGTTTAGATCTGGAATGTCCCCCAAAGATTCATGTGTTGAAGGCTTAGTCCTCAGTGCAGCCATGTCTAGAGGTGGGGTTTGGGAAAAGTGATTGGATCCTTGGGTCTCTGACCTCATCAGTAGATAGTCCATTGAGGGATTCATAGCTGAATGGATACTTGGGAGGTGGTGGAAATTGTAGGAGGTTGAACTTAGTTAGAGGGAGTGGGTCCTCTGAGGTGTTKTATCTTGTCCCTGGCCCTCTTCTTTTTCTTTCAGCTTCCTTGAGGACACCAGCTGAGCAACTTTCCTGGGTTACAGCCTTYAGTCATTTCCTTGCCTCAGGCTCAAAGCAATGGAGTCAGCGGAGGGAGGACTGAAACTCCTGAAACCACAAACCAAAACAAATCTCTTTGTTTTTCTTAGGTATTTTGTCACAATGATGAAAACTGACTAATACAATACATAATTAACCAACAAACTATTGCTTATTAAAAAGGAATTATTATTGGGATAGATACAGCTTACCATTCAATAATAAGCACAATTAATACACGGAAGTACTGATACCCTTTTAGTCTTTTATCTGTACATAAGTTCATCAGAATGTGTATATGTGTTATGTTAATTTATGATGTTAACCAAATACGGCAGTTCTCTCTTGTCTATGTTTTTACTTTCTATACTTTCAGTTACCCAGTTACCATGGTCAAAAAATATTAAATAGGKGCTGTGGCTCTAGCTCAGTGGTAGAAGGCTTGCCTCSAATGTGTGAGGCCCTGGGTTCAATCCTCAGCACCACATAAGAATAAATAAATAAAGATATTTTAAAAATTAATTTTTTTGTGTATATGTTAATTTGTGCATGACTTTGAAGATCCCATGACTCTCCAAAATAAAAGTTTTATCTTCTTTTCTTATTATAAAAATAGTATATTCTCACTATAAAAATAATAAAATTAACAAAGAGTAAAAAGGATGGTGAAAATATATCCTAAAATGCCACCATTCGGTAGTAATCACTAAAAGCAAATCTTTCTTAACACAGATGCACATTTATAAAGCAGTCTGTGATAAAAACGCAGGTAAGGACAGAAGAACTYAGAACAAAGTTGAAAGCCTCCTAAGAACTGGAGGATTCATTTGCATCTAGTAAATTTCCTGTCGTTCTGTGACAAACCAATTCTATGGACTTTTGAAATCTTAACAGTGTGGCTCTAAGGATTTAAGTTGCTCTGCATAAGAACATAAAATGGTCTCTCTGATAGCAGACTTCCCTTTTGTTCCGTATTTTTAGGAAATTAAAGATTAATTCATTTTAATACCAAAATGATAATGCTAGTCCTTGGGAATTATAAGTGTACAACAGGAACCGCTTAAGCAACCACAAATGTCACTGAGTTTGCTGCTTATGAGGTCTCATTTTTTTCCTATTCTTTTGTCTAGCTCACAGGAACCCAGAAGAAAATGGGAAGCAGTCCCTGGATCAGACTGCAACTTCAAAGTGGTGGAAGGTCTCACTTTTGATTATCACTACAGTGATCAAAAAGTTGTCTTTGAGCCTCAGACAAGAGGCTTACCCTAAGTCAATGTGATGGGAAGAATGCTAGTAGAAATTGAGCACCCGAGGAAAAATTTGAAATTATAGAAGAGTTTTATTAGGTTGTGTGTGTAGCAACAGTAATGTTCACCTTAACTTTCTATAAATTTTTTAATTCTACAAGTTCCCCAGTTAGAAATACTTCTGCAACTCCATTCCATTTTCCACATTTCTTGATTTTTCTAAATTACAGATGTTTTCTAAAAACATCCCACCCACAGCTCAAATCCTCCAATGACTTCCCATCATCTTGGTGATAAAAATCCAAATCACTGGCAGAACCAACAAGTCGTCCTTGATCTGATTCTTACCTCTCTCTCTCCAGCTGGCATGAAGGCACCATTTGGGTTCTGAATTTCATGAGAACCAGTATCATGTTTCCCACAAGCCAAAATCAACACTCGAAAACCATGTATATAGAGGGAAATGCATGTAATGTTTTTTTCTGTATCCTTCCCCTGACACCATGTTTCCAACTTCACAACTAGATGTACAGCTCCTAACTCTCTATTCTGTTGATCTCTACAGCCCCTTTTCACCAGATCATTAACTATATGATTCTATTCTCCAACTAGACCTCACCTGCTGTACATAGGAAGCCACGTCTATCCTTTCCTAGATGGGATGAGCCTCCTTTCCTATTGAGTCCATACCTCTCTGTGCATTATTCTGTCCAGATCTTAAACAGCTTCTATTGTAGACTCCCCTGTCACTATGGTCTCACCRCTCCTACCGCTGTAAGTTGCATAAAAACAGTGACTATGTTTTTAGCACTATTTTACTAAGCCAAATACTCAGAGCAGGAATGTAATATGTGACGAATCAATGCACTACCTAGTTCATTTGATCCTCCCAAACCTCTATGATTAAGCAGATAGAAAACTTCCTGTTAGCCTCATTTAGTAGGTGGCTGGAGCTTAGAGAGTATGTTAATTTGCTCAAGGTCTCACAGCTATTTAGGAGCAGAACATCAGCTAAAATCTGAAATTGAGAGCAGTACTTTCTCTATAATTCTCTCTCACCCTCCCTTTCCTACACACACACACACACACACACACACACACACACACACACACTTCTACTTTTGTGAATAAAATTCTAGGTCAAGTTATGATGTTAACCAAGTAGAGAAGTCCTCTCTTGTTCATGTTTTTACTTTCTATACTTTCAGTTACCCAGTTACCATGGTCAAAAAAGTATTAAATAGAAAATTCCAGAAGCAAAAAAAAAAAAAAAAAATTCTTAAGTTTTAAACTGTGCATTTTCTGTGTAGCATGTTGAAATCTTGCACCATCTTGCTCCCATTCTGCCTCAGGAAATAAACCATCCCTCTCTCTAGTATATATGTGCTGTCTATATTATTAGCCCATTAGTCACTCAGGTATCTCTGTTACCAGATCAACTCATTATGTCACAATGCTTGTGTTATTTTACTAATAGTGGTCCCAAAACACAAGAGTAGTGATGCTGACAAATTTTTACATTATATTGTTATGATTTTTCTATTTTTGTTATTAGTTATTATTGTTAATCTCCTACTGTACCTAATTTATAAATTAAACTTTATTGTAAGTATATATGTATAGGAAAATACAAGAAATATAGGGTTTGGTATTGTCTGCTGTTTCAGGCATCATGATAAAGGAAACTCAGATAAGAGAGAGAGAGATTCTATTCTCACCACTTTGTGCTGAGATGAGTCTTAAAGGTTTTTAAAAATATATTGCAAGTCATTCACAGAAACAAGAGATATGTTTTTATTTAATTACCACAACCCCCATAAAAATTGGAGACTGTTATTTCTGGAGACTCTTGGATTTCCTTTGGAAATACCTCCCAACTCAGAACAAAATCTGAACAGTCTGATGCAGTCTCAAAAAAATTATGCAAGAATACTTGTTGGAATAGGTGCTGTGTCACCGAGAACCACTGACATGAAGGGTTAAGATTGCAAAACCAGCCACAAACCATATATGGAGAAACCCATTTCTTAAAACTTGTGATGAACTCATGTTCTGTTTTCCGTTTGCTCAAAGCTGAAGTCAGCTATGCTTTGTGAAGCCGGCAGCTGAAGACAGAGAGGAGAATTCTCTCAGAAACCCAGGCTCTGGATTTAGTTCCCTGCGGCTTTGTGCCCACCGGACTGAGCATGCGGGTCACACTTGCTACTATGACCTGGCTGATTTCTTTTGTCTATAGTTATTCATATAAGGTAAATACCTTGCCAGATATTGAAAATGAAGATTTCATCAAAGAGTGTGTTCGAATACATAACAAGTTTCGATCAGAGGTGACTCCAACAGCCAGGAACATGCTATACATGGTAAGGAAAAAAACAAACAAACAGTATTTGTGGCATTAGTCAATCAAAAACAGCTCAGGTATTAACTTTGGGGACATATTCTTGGTAATCTTGGATGATTTTTTGCTTATGATTAGTGTGTGCTGTAAATTCACAATCGGTGATTAAAATGCAGTTTAGCCCTTTACTCACCACATCAAAAGCAAGCACCACAAGAGCAGTGTAGTTCTCTTTTGGGGCCCTTTTCTTCCTCATCGTGGGGAGACTTCTTTATTTTTTTGGTTATTTTCTTCCCTGTTAATGTTTGTGAGGATTCTTTCGGTTTCTGTTTTTTTCTTGACTCTAAGCTCACTTTTTCTGTTGCCTTCTCAGGAAGGCAATGTGGATTCTAGGGTAAGGATGGGATTTTTGATTCTGGGTTTGAATCCCTGATCTGTGACTTTGAGCTGGTTTGTAGCTTTTCTGAGCTTCTTCAGATGAGGGGTGTTGTGGCTAATAAATTGCATAGACAGTGAAACAGTATATACTATCTTGCACATAATTAGGCTTCAGTGAAACGTTGGTCTGTCTTCCTAGCTTAGATGCTAAATYCCATCAAACCAGATTATCGTTATTTCCTCAGCCCTAGTTATTGCTAGAAGACTGTGTTTAGGGAAGATCTACATAGCATCACACCTCATGTGCCTTTTAAATCCCTGCTGGCTCACACCACTTACATTGTTGTGGAAGATTTCATTCTTGACTCCCATATTGTTTAATAATTCCTTTTGCAGACTTGGGATCCAGCACTAGCCAAAATTGCAAAAGCGTGGGCAAAATCTTGTCAGTTTAGACATAACCCACAGCTGAAATCAAACAAGATGCACCCAAACTTCACTTCACTGGGAGAAAATATCTGGACTGGGTCTCTATCCTTATTTTCGGAGTCTTCAGCCATCTCAAACTGGTATAATGAAATTAAAGACTATGACTTCAACACCCGAAGATGCACAAAAGTCTGTGGTCATTACACTCAGGTAAGTATTGCCTGATGRTTTTGCTTTGTTTTGTTTTGCTTGTGGAGCTGAGGATTGAACCCAGGGCCTAGGGCATGCTAGGCAAGTACTCTGCCACTGAGTCACATCCCCAGCACTGCTCCCTTGTGTTTTTGAAACCATCTTTTCAAGTAGGAGGAGAAAACTGAAATCTGATATTAGGAAATATAAAGAAGGCCAGTACCCCTGTAAATATGTGTGAGTAGACATAACAGTCCTAGTTCAAAGATAATAATAAATGGAATAGACTCCAATACCAGAGGAAATAATTCTTGAAAAGTTTAGTTAAATGGACAAAAGTAATATGTGAGGACCATCAATCTGGAAAAATACTAAATACTAGTACTGTATGGGATAACTTGCAAACATTATTTTATTTAAAACCTTATAACATCTGATATCTGAATCTGAACTTTTACTAGCTAAATGATACTGAARAGGTAACTTCTTAACCTCTCTGGTCCTGTTGGTTTGGATATCATCCGTTTATGGGTCTGTGGTGAGAACTGAATTAGGTCTTCAATGTAGAGAACTAAACCCTACAGTCACTGTGAAAGTGGTTGCTATAGCTTTGTCTTCCCAGACCCTAGGGATCTCTGGGCCTCTCCCCATGAGTAGAGTCCTCTTTTCAAGTAGGGGCAGAATAGGGTGGTCTCTTAATGAGAAGAGGTTAAGATCATTTAGCAGGGGCTCTAATAGCTATTTTGTATCTAAAATATTAGCCCTCTCTTTTCCACCTAGATATAAAGCAACAATTTACAAATAAGTTCAGTTAATTTGGGAAGATCCATCTCTCAAATCTGAGGCCTCTGTAGCATAAATTTAAGTTTCCTTCTCTTATTTTGACTCCCTGTAATGATAGATATTATGCCTTACTTGAATATGCATGCAGAGGTTAGGAGTCTGTTCTCAATTTAACTGTATTCTAACCTCTATATATTTTGCATGCTGAGCTACTTGTCAATCATCTGAAGTATCAGGCTCATTCATACACATTATATACCTTCTATACCTTGTTAATTTTGCCTGGAATTGTTTTCCTTTTCAGCTGACTCAATCTTCATGAACCAGCTTCTGTTTTTCTTGCTACCTGAAGCCTTGCACACACACCCCACCCTTGGCTGGAGAGTCGTTCTGTCCTCTTTGCTCATTGGTACCTTGTCAGTAACTGTGAACAACACTAGCCAAGCACTGTAACACATCCATTTACACATAATGCCTCTTCCAAAATATGACCAACTTCTGAGGGCTAGGGACCAATCCAGACTGTATCCCTCCTTCCCTGTCTCATTCCCTACATGTTTTCCCTTCCACTTTTCTTGAGATTATGCCCTAAAAATGTGTTAGCATATTGTTGACTTAGGCTCTGTTTTCTAGGACTCTGGAGTGAGATTTGTACTTTGAAGGCAGTGAACAAAGGTTAGATCCATCCATGGGCTAGTTTCCCAGAAGTAATATTGGAAAAGGATCTGATAGCTTGATTAGGAGTCCATTTTTATTTTTATGAGAAATCTTGCTGATAGATTCAAGATCACTCAATTGCCATTTTAAATTCATGCTAGAAATTTACCTTGAGCGGATATAGTAACTCCTGACTTATCCTCATCTTCTGTTGAAAATTGAGCTATTTATAAATTTTGGTCCATGTTGGCTGGTTATACAGAATAAAAAGAATAAATTCAGATAAATTATCTCCCCACAAAAGGTTTAATATTTCTTGACATGTTAATTTAACACTTTAGCTTTATATTCACTGGAGACAGCCTATTATTAAGGAATAATTTTAGTGTGGTAATATAGAAGATCAATCAAATCATATGTTTTGTTGCTGCCAGTCCATTTTGGAAAAATTTGAGAACAGTTTGGCAGTRTAGATTACTTGGGTCTGATAGTGCCAGAGCTTCCCACTAGATGGCACTATTCGTCTTATTTTTGTTGTTAATCTCGATTTCCCCACACATTCACCCTCCTGAAATTTTTCTTACACTCTTACACTCTCATGCAACAATGAAAATTTCACAATTTCTCTGGCAGGTCTTATGCTGTTATGATATTATCATGCTTCTGATAATGATTCAGATGGCTCCATGCTGAGAATTGAAAGGGTAAAGATGGTGGGAAGAAATTGTTAGGGGAAAAAAAGAGATATGGCTCTCCCATATGGGTTCCCCTGATGCAAAACTTGTTAGAAAGCATAGAATCCCTAGGTTCTGGATGGATTTCATATGGAAAAACACTCTGAAAGCATCTTGCTCAGGGCATATACTGTCCTTACTGTACTTTGTGATCAGGCAAAATTAGCTCCCAATCTCTCATCTACAGAAAATAGTATCAAAACACCATTAAAAAGAAGCCAAGKGCTTTGCACAGGGCCATTTGGAAAGATGACCTGAGGGCATCTCTGGAAAAGGCAGATCCTACCCATCACAGGATGTCAGGTACTAAAAAGTATAAAATAATTTCAAAGACTTTCCTTTGAGAAGACAGCCCCATGGCACCCTGCTGACACAGGGCCACTCAGGGAATTGTTTTCCCAAAATGTTTTACCTTGTTCAGTCATCAAGGCACTCAGAGGACACTGGAGCCATGGTTTAAGTGTGTCTGGTGCAACCCAGGCTGGCAGCAGTTCATGGAGTGGTCAGTGTGATGGTGAGTATATAGACATGCGGAATGCAAGAGTTACGGTGTCATGGAGGCTTCCACCAAGATTTCAAAGTAAAGCCCGGTAGGCCAGGCAGTGTGTGATAGTGTGCAAGCCCCTGAAAGCAGTCTCTTACAGAATGATACATGAAGCTGGGAGAGTGAGCCAAACCACAATGGAGACCCCAGGAAGTTAGAGGTGCCAGGAACGAGGAATGCCTGCTGAGGGAAGCTGAGGCAGCAAGTAAAGCCAACCTGTGAGGGTGGTCATGTGGGCCATATTACAACCCCAAGATAGCAGGGGTGGGGCTGCCCAAATTGTTCGGAGCTCACATCACACCACCCTGTCCACCAGATGTTAGACAGGGGATGATAGGATTTGATGTTGTCTGCTAGTTTTAAATCTTGTGTTGGTCTAATTCCTTTTTTTTTTTTTTTTTTTTTTTTTACTTAGTCCTCTCTTTTTGAATGGAACTGTATATCCTGTGCCATTTTTTATTAGTGTTATTGTAGGGACTCATAGCTGTTTGCTTTGACTCTCAGAGGAAACTTTGGACTTTTTGAACAATATTAAAATATTTGGGACTCCAGTGACTCTTGGGATGGACTAAATGAATTTGCAATAGGAGACAGACATGAGTCTTTGGGGACCAGGGACAGAATGCTAGAATTGTGGTATCAGGAGACGGGTAAAATGTTTAGTATTGAGGTCTAGTGGAAGGAAGTTAGATCGTTGAGAGGTATGCCCTTGAAGAGAATATTGGGATTTGGCTGTTTCCTTTCTTTCTCTTTGTATTCTGGCTATTATATGCTCCTGTCATGATGTACTTACTATGTTGTCACAGGCCCAAAGGCAACAGTCAACTGTCCATGAACTGAAACCTTTGAAACCATGAGCCACCGTAAGCCCTTTCCTCCTTATTCTCTCAGGTATTTTTGTCACAGGGACAGAAAGTTGACTCACATACCAAGTAAAACATATAATAAATGCTAACTAAAATTTGTACACTTTTGGACAAAAATAGCATTAAAGATGCAGTATTACAAACATTAAAAATACTTGAGATGTAATGACTCTATGGAAGGAAGTACTCAAAGACCAAAAGATAAAACATATCAAGCTAAGGTGAAAGCCAGGAACAGAGACCACATTGAACCCAGGTAGCATGTGGAAGAATCACCGGAAGAACTTGTTCAAATAGATTTTAAGGACAATTCCAGTGACTTTGATGCCAGAGTTCTGAGATGAACCCCAAATTCTGCAAATCATCCCATGCAAGATCAGCTTGAAATCCAATAAATAAAAATTCAGAAAATTTCAAAGTAAAACAAAAATAATTGAAAAGCGAAAGTTTAAGAATCAAACCTGGGGAACAATAGCCACTCCAAAAGCTAGATTCTCTCAGTAAGATGGAAGCCTAAGCGACTTCTATGCCTCTGTAGGCTGGGGTTCCCTATAGAGGATTCCTTGGAATGGGATATGCAGAGAAATGTTCCTCAGGAAATACTCCATTTAGACCACAGAGAAGGGACTATCCCTTTCTAAAAGAGGGTCCTGCTTCTCTTCTCTGGGATGTTGGAAATGCCTTTCCGGATCCTCTGCAGTGGTCAATCCAAGAGAAAAAGACAGTCTGAAAAAGCAGCTGTCCTCACTGGTGCTATGATCACGTCCCTAAATACTCCTTCACCTCCGATGCCACATGTAAACCCTGGGGGAACTCATATTGCATCCGCAGCCCCCCTCTCCCCTCACTCTTCACTATTTTCCCGGGGAATAATTTTTTTCTGCAGTCACCCTGGCCATGGTTTAATTCTGTGAATGAATCTTTTCCTCTTTGGGTTCACATGAAGTATTGCCCTCTCCAGCTCCAACTTGCTTCCTTGGAAAAGGGCTCCATGGTACATATGCCCTTAGAACCCTCCACGATGGTCAACACTCTTATGTAATGGTTGCAGGACTGATTTCCTCTATATTTTTGCAAAGGCACCTGCTGGCTCTAGCTCCTCCACTATTACACCCCCATATTTAGCACAATTCTTATCACAAAATTACTCAACAAACTATGGTAAAAAAATAATTTAAAATGTAAATCAGTACCACTGTAAAAAGGAATGCATTTAATTGTTGGCTTGTCTTCAGCTACTGACTTTTTAAAATACTTTGTTTAATCGTCTATGACACCAAACACTCTTTGTCAGGTAAAGCTACATAATTTGTGGGGCCTGCTGCAAACTGAAAATATATACTCCTTCATTCAAAAAGCAAGGGAAAAGTCCCACTGCTGGTGCTAGATTATGCAATAGTTTTGATTAACCAAATACAGAGCTCTTTTGGGCCTGGATTCAACTTCCCAGCACAGGCTGCTCTCCCTGAAGCTGTCTCCACTCTTGATTTCCCTCCACATCACTGACTACTTTTGCATCTGATTTGCTGCTCCTGCCTTTTTCTTGGTCCCAAGCTCTGCTTTAATTTTTCATAATCTATTTCATTGCCTATGTGATATAATCTAGCCTCATGTCTTTATACCTCTAACCTTATGCTGTTCACTGAACTGAAAATGGTTAAGTCCAGCAAATATCCTGAATAGAACTGTTGCCCATGCTCCTACCCACCTTGCTTCTTCCCTAGTTTGAAACATTTCAATAAATGTTGCTTAGGTCCCAAACTAAAATGCTTCCCACATCCATAATAAAAGCAAATCCTTCCACCTACGCTTCTAAGCTGAGCCAGGAACTTGATCAGTCCTCAAGAATGCCATCACCCAAGTGTGAGTTACCATGTTTCATTCTTGTAACACTGAAATAGCCTCCAAAGTTACCTCTTTGTTAAAGCACTTACTACCATGCTCTTTTCAGTGTCTTTACTTCCTAATTGCTACCGGGTTCTTGCTAAGATATGATTAAAAAAAAAACAAAAACCAGTCACTCACCTACAAGAATCTCCACGGTTGGTTCCCCTGCCTTTGAGCTAATTGTCTATGACTCTCCCCCACTCAGTAGATCAGGCTCTACTTGCCTTTATTCTGCCAGTCTAATATATTAAGGAAAGACTGCCTCAGGGCCTTTGTTCCTGACAGGGCTCTACAGAATGCTCTTTCTTCACTGATAAGGTCTCCTAAACCATTAGCCTCTATGTTCTACCCTCATTGTTCATGTCCCAGTTCAAATGCCTCCCATTCAGAAATGGCTTCCCTGACACCCCTGTTAAATCAGCCCCCTTTCTCCCCACTGATCACTCTTTATTGTTAACCCTGTTTTATTTCTTCATTGTAGTAACTCAAAATTATCTTGTTTATATGTTTATTTCTCTCTCTCAAACACATACACACAGACTACCACCATCACCACCGATGACAGTAATTATAGATCTTGTTTCCAGCTGAATTTTGGGCACCTGAAACTTCCTTGGTAGTAAGTACTTTAACTAAATAGAACAAATATAGCTTACCATGTTTAACCACTGAGCCACATCCCCAGCTCTTTTTATTTTTCATTTTGAGGCAGGGTCTTATTAAGTTGCTTAAGGCCTAATCATACCCAAACGTTCATTTCACTGTTTTCCTCTGTGTTAATATCCTCATTTATTTTCAGGTTGTCTGGGCAGACAGTTACAAGGTTGGCTGTGCAGTACAGTTTTGTCCTAGAGTTTCTGGCTTTGAAACTCTTTCCAATGGAGCACATTTTATATGCAACTATGGACCAGCGTAAGTGCCTGAATTAATGATGTATTTTAAAAGTATTCATCTTCATTTTAGAAAATCTAGTTAATAAAGTATAGAGAAGAAAATTAATATAACTCTTAATTACTCTGCCCAGAGATCTACTCCATTAACATTCTGGTACTGTTTTCTGTGTTTCTATACTCTTTTTAAATACACATATTTTTTTAGTGGTTGTTCAAAACATTACAAAGCTCATGACATATCATCTTCCATACATTTGATTCAAGTGGGTTATGAACTCCCATTTTTTACCCCAAATACAAGTTGCAGAAACACATCGGTTACACATCCACATTTTTACATAATACCATATTAATGACTGTTGTAAATACACATATTTTTAAAAGCAGTAAGACTCAAGTGTTTATCAGGGACACAAACTAGTCTGATATGGTAATAACACAAGATGGGACAATTTTTTATTAGTTTATTAAAAATTTGGCAAATTTTATAGAATCTTCTAAACAAAAGAACTAAAGTTCTTCAATTTATATAAATTCATACTTTTGGTAGTTCTGTTTTTTAAATGAAAAATGTTTTCACCCTTTGCAAAAAGTGGGAAGTGACCTTACCATATCCTTAAAATAAACACATAACATAATAAATAATAAACACACATAACATACCCAGATACATGTATAGGTATGTACATTTGTGTATTGTAATCATATGTAAAAAAATGTTACCATGCTGTAAATACAAGTTTTGTATTTTTTTTACTTAAAATTATACCATGTCTTTGTCACTTAATTTAAACCTGAAACTCAATTTCAATAATTATAAAATAATTGATGTTTTATATAATGCTTACAATATGCCAAGCACTGTTCTGAGTAATAATTTACATGTATTTAATCTTCATTAAAAGTTTAGGAAATGTAAAAAAAAAAAAGTTACACCTTTATCTTGTTTTGCAGATGAGGAAACTGAGGCATGGGCAAAGGGAGTAACCTGCCCTGTCCTACAGTTAGTAAATGTCTTGGCTGGCCTCTGATCTGGCTGTCCATCTCAGTTTGTGCTCTTGATAGTTAATAAAACAGTTAATCTCAGTGAAGAATTTAGATTGTTCTGTATTTTGTGATGAACAACTATAGTCAGAAATATTCAGTCACTTTTATGTTCCTACATTTCCTAGGAGTAATACTAGTAACTTGACCCTTTTTAACTTTTTAATACCTTTTACCAAATTACTTTTCATCATCTATTTTCAATTTATACTGGGGATTGAACCCAACGGGCTGCTTAACCACTGAGGCAGATCCCCAGCTCTTTTTTTATTTTTCATTTTGAGTCAGAGTCTCATTAAGTTGCTTAGGGTCTCACCAAGTTACTGAAACTGGCCTAGAACTTGTGACCCTCCTGCCTCAGCCTGCTGAGTAGCTGGAATTATAGTCATGCAACATCACACCCTGGGGCATTATAAGTATTTTCTAACTTGAAAGAAATTATATTTGTTTTCTTTTGCATCTCTGATTACTAATGATGATAAAATCTCTTCACCTGATTGTCTATTTATATTCCTTCTTGGTAAATCATATGATCTGCCCATTTTTCTTTTAGAGTGGTTTTCTTAATGATTGATATTAGCTGTTTATATTTTAAGGCTTTTTAACCACTCGCCACATATGTAACATTGTTTTCTTTAATTTGTTGCCCTTGAGTTTTGTTTGGAGGGAAGAGAACTAAAATCAAGTATCCTTCAGAAAAGAACAACTTTGACTTAAGATTCCATCATTGGAAAATAAGGAAAACCAAAGAAAAGGTAGACAAAACCTTAATTCAACCAGTGATAGTTTTTCATGACAGTTTAATGGTTAAGGTACAGTTAATTTACCATGTGACCAGAGACAAATTAGTTAATTCTCTGAATCTGTTTTGTTGTCAAAAATCAAAATAATAATAGTATCTATATTTAGTGTAGCTATAAGAGTCATAGAAAGCTATGTAAAAACACCAAGTATGTATAATGCCTGGCACTGGTGATTGTTCATAAGTATTTATTATTTTTATTCTCATTATTAACTGCATGTGTGAATTCTAGTACAGAATGACTTTACTTACTTTTGGTTATAAACATTGTTGTGAAACTTATGTTTGAAGTTATGTTTCTATAAAAAACTGAGTTAGCTTCATATATTCATTTATTCAGCAAATATTTCTTTACTAAACTTCAAAGAAGAGCAAGCCAGATGCAGTCTCTGCCCTTATTTATATTTATGAGGCAGATCAATAAATATATATGACTGCATTAAAATGGGGAAACTAAGAAAATATAAATAATACTCTAATAGGAACTACCACTGGAAAAGGCCCTGTTTAAAATAAAATGATCAGGGAAGGACATTCTGTGATAATTTTAGCTTAGGTGTGAAAAATGAGAAGGAATCAGATGTGAGAACTGCAGGAAGAGTTGTGCAGAGGGGAGAACAACTGCAAAACTTACATGGAGAGGACTTTGGCAAGTTTGAAGCATGGACAGAGACCAGGGTGTTAGAGCGCTGAGTGAAATGAATCCAAGGGGAAGATGGCAGCAGAGATCTCACATGGCCTTGTAGATCATGGTGAGGGTTATAACCTTAGTCAAGTCAGTAGAGGAACCCATCAAAGTATCTTAAACAGGGGACTCATGATGAGATCAGTCTGTGAAGTGTGGAAAAGGAACTGGAGCGGCAGAAGACAGAGGGGCCAGATAGGAAGGTCTTCATTTCCTTCTGCCTTTTGAGGCCTTTTCTTATATCTTCAAAGCCGTACGCCCCCACTCCACATAATCCAGTATTTCCCCAGTGTTTCTGAGAATGCCTCAGAAGGGGAATAGGATGCTTAGTTCTCCAGTCACCTGTACCTCTCTCTTCTTCATTCCCCTGGGCATCATTCAGCAAAGCCATGATAACAGATCTCTACCCAGAGTGGTTAGTGGAGAACAGGACTGTAACACAGAGGAGGAAATAACCTTAATTACAAGAACAGTAGCTAGTATGGTTTGGCCATCTCTGCCTTGGGAACCCTTAATCATATTTAACTTCTCTTCCCTAGTGTCCCAATCTTCTCTCAAGGTACTAGAAAAAAATACTAAAGCTTTCTGCTTCTTCACTGGATAGAATACTTCAGATCTCTTTGTCATAATCACTCTCACTTAGACAAACCCAGGTCTTTCTAGTAGCATGCTTTTCCCAAATGCATTCTTCACTTTACCTACATCTCACAACTATCTTGTTTTTAGCTTATTTTTAAGTAGCAATGTTTTCCTTCTCCTTTACAGTTTGGAATGCAAAGTTGAAGCATAAGGTAGCATAAATGATTTTGTTAAAACCATCTAGAACTTAAACAATTTAATGAGTATTATGCTTTTTAACAATGAAAGATATTCCAAGACTAACATCTAATTTGGATCTTTTGTGATTGCTATTAGAATTTCTACTATATTGCTTTGATTATACAGGATAAATTTCACTTCTGAAGCAACCAATAATGTGAAGCCAAATGAGAATAGAACATATATCTTGGATTGAAAAAAATGAGGTGTTAATATAAAGGGGGGCTTTTTTTAAAAAAAATATTTTATTTACATTTTAGTTTTCGGCGGACACAACATCTTTGTTGGTATGTGGTGCCGAGGATCGAACCCGGGCCGCACCCATGCCAGGCGAGCGCGCTACCGCTTGAGCCACATCCCCAGCCCCAAAGGGGGGCTTCTTAACACTAGAGTTAAATGTATAGTTTTACTGGGACGGGAGTTCGGTTCAGAAAAAAATTAAAATTCCTTCCACTGTGAATGAAGACAACAGACTAGGCTTTTTAGCACTGTGACTCTGTATTAACAATATCTGTGTCTTTGAAAATAGTAGTTATTTTCACATTAACTCTAGTTGCTGCAGATACCTAAAAATATTATGATTAACATTGATTTGAAACTACTTACAATATTAGAACCTGTTAGATCTGGTTTAATACTTAATATTAAATAATACATATTTCTAAATCATGATTCTTTTTTCAACATTTTGATGCTTATTTCTGTTTAATCAGTTTCCCACATTCCTATGTATTTTATGCAATTAAAAATCATCCTATTTTAAGAAAGAGTCCATAGGATTCACCAAGGTATCAAAAGGCAAAGGAGAAGAACTGCATTCCAAAAGCAGAGTTTAAAAAATTAGTGCAATTGTAGATTTGCTGATATAATGTACCAAGCCTGTGAGCATTGCTACTCTTTAGGTGCTCATGGGAATATAAAATGCTTATATATAATTTCACTTTTGGGGGCTGGGGATGTGGCTCCAGCGATAGCGCGCTCGCCTGGCATGCGTGCGGCCTGGGTTCGATCCTCAGCACCACATACAAAGATGTTGTGTCCGCTGAAAACTGAAAAATAAATATTAAAAAATTCTCTAAAAAATATATAATTTTACTTTTTATCAGTGACCTTGGTCAGTTATTTGTACTGTGCCTAAGCCATTAGCTATCTAATAGGGATAAATAAAAAACAGTAACATCCTCATAAAAATGTTGTGAAGATTATCTCATTCAAGGGTGCTTAAAACAGTGCCTAACACATAGTGAATGACCAATATTTAGCTATTATTCACAGATCATCTTTTATATGAAAACAACCTGTAATTCAGAATTTCCTGTGTGTGTATGTGTGTGTGTATTTTGAAAGGCATTTCCTATCCAATAAAAAACTATGGTGGCTAGGTTGAATAATGAGTGTAAATACAGGTCATGATAGCTTTCATGAGATGGGCAGATTTTTGGATGACAGCAATTACACAGGCCAGAAAACAGTAGAGGAAGCACAGCCCTGGTGTCAGACAAATCTAGTTTTCCTCCTGACTCAGGTATGTGTAAATTGTGATTTGGGGCAAGTCACTAATCTCTTAGATCCTCAGAAATAAGAATAACTTCCTCCCAGAATTGTCAGAAGTGAAATAATGTAAATTAAGAGGGCCATTGAATGAACCCTCCACATACTTGTAGCTTTCCACTTATTTCCTTTTCTTCACATGTTATTAACTACTGGTTGCTTACAAGCTCTCAATAATTTTCACTTCCACCTTATTATCATGCTGGATCTGGTCAAGGATTCACAGTAAATTGTAATTGGAAACAAAAACTCTACTAATAGACAGGCTTCTTCTGCTTTACAGAGGAAATTACCCAACTTGGCCATACCAGAAGGGATACACCTGCAGTGCTTGTCCTCCAGATGACAAATGTTTACAAAATCTCTGTGGTGAGTAAAAGGAACAACCCACAAATGAAATAATGGAATAGAAACTATTATGCCTTTCTCTACGGTTAAGTGTAATTATTTTATTCTAATAGCTGTTTTTGAGGAAATTGGCATTGAGGAGTAACCAACCCAATGGCTTACTGTTCTAGAAATAAATGTTTAATAAAAATTTGACATATTCTTTAAGAAGATCTTTTAAAATATCCTTTATTTTCTCATGGTGTGAAGGGAAACCTCGAGTAGGCTATTGTGCAAATCGCATAATACTTTGTGCCTTTATCTGTAACAAACTCAACTGCTCAGAACAGCAGGGCTGGGGTGGGATGCTTAGGATAGGACAGTGAGCCAAGTTTTACTGCATAAATTTTCATTTGGAAAAAAAATGTTGCATTGCTTACATTTCCTAAGATTCCTTTCACACACAAAATTAGGATTCTATTAAATTGCTGTTTCCTTCCTATTTGTAAACATTAAACTGTAAACCTTACTCCAGGCATAGGGGCACTTTCTGGATCAACTCTCTAAGCCAGTTTTTCCCTCAGTCCAACCATTTTTTTTTTTTTTTATTCCACTCACATCAAGTTTGTTAGGAAAACCCAGTAACATGTATCCAAAATGCAACTAAACTCTTCTGAGAATACAACATGTTAACCAAATTCTTTTAGGGTGTTACAACAAAGCATACATGTATACACAAGCGTGTATCCGTGTGTAAGTTTTTTAAAACCATAGATTTTAGAACCATATGCCAGTTTCCAGTTCAGTGTCCAGTTCTACCACTGTGACCTCAGGCAACTTTCTGAACCTATTTCCATAACTATAAAATGTGCTTGATAGTATCACCTCATGGGTTTGGTGAAATAACTTAGGGTAAAATCACGTTTTCCCTTTAAAGTTTCTAAATAATTCGTAATGCCACCACAATAATATTGCTGACAGTTTGTTTTTGATCTTTGGAGTCTAAACTTGAGATGGTCTCTAATCTTGGGAGATAAAACTCAGATTAAAGCTCTAGTCCAAGAATGAAAATCCCTGAGCTCCTAAGGGTAAAAGCACATGCTAACTTGCATATTTACAAGATATTGTAAAACATATCACCCATTTACCATAGCATTCTCCAGATTAATTCTGCCACTAATTTTTAGAAAACTCAATTTTTCTGTAAAATGTTGGCTTCCTTGAAAGCATTCCATTTTTCTGCACTAGCGGGGAATGACAGGATTTATAATTTTAAAAAATGAAAGGATAACCATCCCCATCCCACCTTTTATCCTGAAGTCTGAGTAGGGTAAAGTTAGATAAAACCTTTTATTTAACAGATTTCAACTCACAAATTATGGCAAACACCAGAAAAAAAAAATTGTTCATAGTCTTCTAGATACTATCTGTAGTTCAATAAATACCAAGAGGCCATACCAAACTGTTTTGCAACATATGTCAAGCACACCCGTGATACAAAGGTAATTTTAGCTAGTAGATGTATATTAATATGTATATTTGTTGAATATTTAAAAATATATACAAGAAAAAAATAATTAGAATATCACACCCTTGAATTCATGGATATAATTGCAAAAAGTTAGGGTAGCAGCTTCATGGTAACTCAGCACAAAGCTCACTCCCAGGTATGATGATGTTCAAAGATGCTCTCAAGTGCCCAGAGGGCTAGGTCCTTGGTTGCTTCCATTACAGGAACCCAAGAGCAACTGATGTACAACTGGTGTGAAAAAGGTCATTTAATAAAACAAAAAATCAAGAAGGCTAAAGGCAGTTGTGGGACTTATTTCCTCCCAGTACTCAGTAAAAAAAAAAAAAAAAAGAGCATAGTTGCCGCTTTTAATAAGCCAAAAGTCTTAATGATGACTTAGTGATAAACTGGAATGGATGAAAGAAGCTACTGTCCCTTTAGTATTGATTCAGCATTCACAATATCGTTGTTCTCAGGGAAGGACCCATTCTCAAGAAAAATATTTTGATAAACTGCTCATGTTGATCATTTCTAATATGATTTAAATTTTTAAATTTTTTTTACTCTTGATTGTATTTATTATCTGAAGGATATAGTTATGTAAGATAATTTTCTATTTATAATAGTTTCCTCTGTATAAAAAGTTCATATAAAAAGCAGACTTAAAAATACAATGTTAGTACAGTTAGGTCAAAAAAATTCTTTTGGCGAGAATGTGGGGGAAAAGGTACTCTCATACACTGCTAGTGAGACTGCAAATTGGTGCCGCCACTATGGAAAGCAATATGGAGATTTCTTGGAAAATTGGGAATGGAACCACCATTTGACCCAGCTAAGCCTCTCCTCGGTCTATACCCAAAGGACTTAAAAACAGTATACTACAGGGACACAGCGACATCAATGTTTACAGCAGCACAATTCACAATAGCTAAACTGTGGAACCAACCTAGATGCCCTTCAACAGATGGTTAAAAAAAAAAAAAATATGGCATATATACACAATGGAATATTACTCAGCAATACAAGAGAATAAAATCATGGCATTTGCAGGTAAATGGGTGAAGTTCAAGAAGATAATGCTAAGTGAAGTGAGCCAATCCCAAAAAACCAAATGCTTTCTTTGACATAAGGAGGCTGATTCATAGTGGGATAGGAAGAGGGAACATGGGAAGAATAGACAAACTCTATTAGGGCAGAGGGGTTGGAGGGGAAGGGAGGGCACATGGAGTTATTAATGATGGTGGAATGTGATAATCATTATTATCCAAAGTACAGGTATGAAGACATGGATTGGTGTGAATATACTTTGTATACAACCAGAGATATGAAAAATTGTGCTCTATATGTGTAATAAGAATTGTAATGCATTCTGCTGTCATATATAAATAAAAAAATTCTTAAATTACCTTTGAAAATCACTGCAATGAAGTCAATAGTTACACTTTTTTTTTTAAATAAAAATCTTACCTGTACCTAACGTTTTTTTTTTTTTAATTCTCCCTGACTTCACAGTTAATCCAAAGAGAGACAAGGTCACACGTATGTATACACATCCTAAATTGTTTCATTAAGCACTATGTAATTTATGCCATTCCATTATGAGAAACAATGTCTTAGAGGACTTTCTATGTTTATTTCACAGGTTACTACTCTCTTGTGGATCCAGCCTGGCCCATATTTTTACGAAACAGATACACATCTCTCTTTCTTATTGCTAATTCAATAATTCTAATAATGTCTGTTATAATTACCATTTGGATAAAGAAAAAATACCCTAATTTAAGTCTTTTAGACTAATGCAGTCTGGGGGGGAGGGAGAGATTTATTCATATGGCTTTTTAAAAAAAGTAACAATTGGGTGTATTTCTAATTTCCACATTAAAACATTATTTTTAAAAAATACACTGCTGCAGTAAAGACTTGCTCAAAATAAAAATGGCTCAACTTCCTAATTATAAACTCATCTTTACTTTGCACTTTTTTATGAGTAAGCATTGTTTTCAGGTTGCCACCACTGGGCTTTCCATATGTAATCTAGTTTCCTGTGCTTTAGTTTAGCTTCCAAATCTAAAATGAATGAACTAGACTTATATGATTCTAAGTTAACTCCAGTGATTGGTGCTTCTTACATGCTGCTTTAGCTCAATGTACCTGGTTTCCCTGTTCTCTTGCAATTTGGTATCTTTCTGGTTTAACACTTCCTCAGACTTGATAACTAAAGTATTTGATTTCAGAGGCCTTGATTTTCTGCTTATGAGCTGTTTACTCTTAAAATAAAACAATATTGTAAGAAGGGATAATCAGGGAGAGAGAATGCACTGAAAACCTAGCATTTATTTTCCTCAAAACCAAATGCTGGGACATGATTATGTTTAAAAACTAACCAATGACATCAGACTTTGGATTTAATGAAAAATTACAATAGTCATGTTCCAAAAATGTATATATAAAAAAACTTAGAAATTACTCCTAAACTCGTGCTTAGGCAAAACCTGCCTGATTAGGTACAATGTACACATAGCACTTTCTAGCACAAATTTTTTCAAAATACACAAGAATATATTTATAAAGAATATTATTATATGAAACTCAGAAATATTATTTCTCACACATAGGACAACTAATGCCCTAATATTTCAAAATCCTTTACAAAAGGAGATAGTTTTATAAGTTCTAGTTCAGGGGGTTTTCGTTATTTTTTTAATGTTACTTTTTTTTCTTCTTTTTCTTTTCATCTGCTTCCACCTTAAGCTTAACTTCTTCAGCTGTAAGAGCTCCCAGTTTCTTGTTCTTTGCTTTCTTAACCTTCTCCTTGATGGCAGCCACATCAATTTTAGTTTCAGTAGATGCTACAAAAATTAAAAAGAAAATGTATGCAATTCTATACAAATTAAAACAATGTGTTTTAGATAATAATTTCAGATCACTATTTTAATAACCAAAAGGTTAGGTTATAAAATATACAACATGTTGCTAAAGTTAGAAATTTCTTCAAATCATAATCTCTAAATATGTCCTAGTGAGAGTTCATAGGAAAATGGCATGACAGTTTAAACAATTTGTACCAATTACTGAATTTAATTAATCTTTTTTCCCTAAATCTTGAGATTATTTATATTCCTTTCCTTATTTTGGAACATTACTCATTAATATATCAATTTTCCTTCTTACACACTGAAATAATTTAAAGTTACATTTTATAAAAAATATTACACGTAGCTTTTCCAGCTTCAATAATTTTAATAAGCAAATCATGAAGCTACAGGTCAAAATCTACTTCATCTAAGACCATAACAAAAACTTCAAGCTTGACCTGGGGATATAGCTCAGTTAGTAGAGTGCCTGCCTCACCTGCACAAGGCCCTGTGTTCAATCCCCAGCACACCTCCTACCCCCCAAAAAAACCCTTCAGGCTTTCCAATATTATTATTAATGACTAGTATTAACAAGCTTTCTGTAAAAAAAGACAATAGCTCCAGAGTATTTGGAGGTCTTCCCAACAACACAAAAGCATCTAATCAATGCCAAAAACATTGACAAAATAAAGGCAACAGTGAAAAAAATGCATCTGTTTACATTTACATACAGTATTTAAGAACATGAAAGAATCCCAAGATAAAATGTCACCATATGTACAGTCTAGTCACTTGAGATGCAGAGATTTAAAGCCTCCATTACATACTCCACTACAAAGCAGCTACATTCTTAGTTAACACAGGCTGAGGTTAACTAGCTACTAGGTATCCAAAGTACTTAATTGACAGATTGCACAAACTGAAAACAAATTAACAGGTTATGTATGTGTTGCTAGGAAATGGCATGACAGTTTAAACAATGTGCACTGACAGTTTTGGAGGGCTACTTTAGAATGAGGCTAGAAAAATCTCCTGTCATTACTTTGTTTAGTAATAAGTACTCAACGTTAACAACATAGAAACAAATCTTAAGCCACAGATCATATAAATAAAGAGAAAAACAGTTTCTCTGAAAGCCCTCTTTGAATCATGATAGCAAAATTTACATTACTTCTATTCTTATATAATATACAAAGATTACTCTGGGTTTTTATCTTTTCCAAGTGTGGGTCAGAGAATGGGGAAGAACTGGTACTCTGGATACTCTAAAAATATGCATTAGCTGCTTCTGAATTATAAATTATCTCATTCGCTTCTTGTCCTTAGACTTAATAATTAAGGAAATGCTAAGACAACTGATAAAAGATATGAATATTTCTTTACTTATTAACACGACAGATTTAGACAAATTCACTATGGATTTACTTTTCATAGACAATGGATTTTTTACATCAAAAAGTGAAAAATGAGCATTACCTTCCTTAGGTTTCACAACTGTTTTTTCTTTAGGTGGAATAAATGCTTTGTTTCTTTCCTCTTGTCTCTTACTGAGAGCTTCTGCTTGTTTAGCCTTTGTTATTAAAAGCACATTTGTAAAATAAAGTTTAGTTTTAAGAATTCAGAATCTATGAATGTTGTTACTAACATTGTCAGCAAGACATAAAGAGTCTTACCTTGATTGCTTCCATTTTTTGTCGCTTCTTTTGATTCGCTTTCAAAAAGTATTCACCACTAGCCAATTCTTTATCAATCTATTGAAAACAATATTGATAATTATGTTGGAAATAATGTAGATGAGGATAGCAGAATAAAATAGACTTTATTATTGCTGTTTGTATATATGTGACTACATGAACAATGTAATTCTGCAACCTGGACACTCAGAAAAATGAGAAATTATACCCCATCTGATTCAAATGTACGATATGTCAAGATCATTGCACTGTCATGTGTAACTAATTAAAACAAATAAAAAAAATAAATACATTAAAAAAAAAGAAATAATGTAGATGAAAAGTAATTTCCTAAGAAAGTCACAACATCTTTAGGGTAACAGTGAAGACAATACTCTCTCTCTTCATAAAGGTAGCAACATGAACTAGACTGGGGGTAGAGGTAGAAAAAGGAAGGATAGGTCTTATCTGGGCTCTGTGTACATACATTTACATAAATATCACACTGATCCCTGTTAATATGTATAGTTAATACATGTTAATTTAAAAAAAGTAAAAAGAGATTTGCAGAGGTAAGGAAGAAAGAACAGCCAATTAGTACAAAGCAGGTTATAAGAAGTATGGCAGGTGCTATGGAAGCAAGGTTTTAGCGATTGGCTCCACTATGCTCTTCTCAGCTATCATTTTCCTTCTGATCTCACTTTGTTCTCTGTGAGCTAACATGTCCATTGTTTTTTCACCATGATCACTACTCCTTTTTCCCTTTGGCCTCTTATCACACTTTCCCTGAAAAACTCAAAACAAGGAGGAGAAAAGATGATAGAAAAGGAAGAGTTTATATCCTGAGCAGAAAACAACTAGTAGAGATGAATTATTTTTAAGACATATGCAAAGGAGAGAATACTTAAGCAATACCAGAGACATAGATGAAATTCACACAGATGGAAATAATTAATGCAGATGAGGAAAAGAATTACAGAGAGAAGAGTTAAGTTGAAGGAGTTTTTCCTGATGGCCTCAAATATTTCAGAAAAGTCAAGGAGTGAGAAGGTGTTGACAGAATTAAGACAAGAGCTGTCAGATAATTCTGAGGATGTAAGGATGGAAATATGAATCTCTAGTAGATTTAATTCACAGACAGGATTTTCTCCAGCTTCATATGGTAGTGCATTATGGGAAAGTTTGGGGGCTTAATCCAAGTCTTAGAAGGTATGACAGAAGGGAAAAGTGGCATGAGGGGCTGGGGTTGTGGCTCAGTGGTAGAGCGCTTGCCTAGCATGTGAGAGGCAGTGGGTTCGATTCTCAGCACCACATACAAATAAATAAAATAAAGGTTCATCAACAACTAAAAAAATATTTAAAAAGAAAAAAAGAAAAGTGGCATGAAAGAAAACAAAGAGAAAAGAAAATAACTCAGAAAAAGAATAAATATTGGAATTTATGACTTCTAAAATCATACAGAACAGGGTTAAAAGAGAATATTGCTGAAGCAAAGTAGAGATACTATGGGCTAAATCTCTGAATTTTTAAAAATCTATAGAACATTTTCATTGGCTACAGAGACACAACTGACAAAAAACATCTTGATGCAGTTCACTCACAATGTAAAGGCCCCACTCCCCAACTCCATGCATTTAGCTCAAAATGTGCCTTTTTACACTTTAGCTTCTTCTACCTCTCCAGACAACATGCACTCTCTCTCCCTCCCTGCACCTAAACTACCCTAAATAAAATTTCCAATAAAATAAGATTAGTTCTTCCTTTATATAATAAAGTTCAACATTTAATACTAACCTGACTTTCTGGCTGTGGTGGTGGAAATGGCGTGTATGCTTTCTTAACAGTTTTCTTCTTCGGTTCCTTGCGCTTATTCACATTTTTGTGTTTGAAGTGTGGCAAGAATCTTTCCCAACTTTGTGATCGTAATTCAGAATCTTTTGCCAATTCCCGTTTAATCATTAAGGTCTTCAGTCATACACATAAAATAAAATTTAATTTCAAAATTGATACATTTATTTAAACTATAATAAATATTGCTTCTACAAATACAATTTTAAAAGGAACAGTTCCTAGTCTCTTTAGTAGAATTAACCAATTGCACTAATAAAAAGATATGTCATCATAAATATGTATAATCAGTTAAGCATGAGAAAATCATTAGAAATTTACATTAAGAAGCAGGGAATTGTTAAGAGATAAAAATGATACTTGGTTTTTCAGTGAGTATTCCAATAAAACCTTAATAATTCAACTTAATTATAGCAGATAGGATTCTTAATTAGCTGATGTTCCCTGTAAGCAAGAAACTTTTAATAGTCATTAAGAGGGAAAGGAAAAAAAAATGTCTTAATGATTAGATAAAAGTCAATACTATTCTCACATTCACCCCCACTCCATTTGAATTTTATACACACTGGAATATTA